AAATGAAATGATGTGCAAATCATGTAAATCTGATATTTAAATGAACATAGTACAAAGACAGCATCAGATGTGATTTCTGAGAAATTTTATGTTTTTTTGAAAACAAAAGGCTGGTAAAGTTGTGTAATGCTAAAAAAACTCCTGGTGGCTTATTGACAGCAGGTCAATAACATGATTGGGTATAAAAAATCTCAGAGAGGCTGAGTCTTTCAGAAGTAAAGATGAGGAGAGGTTCACCACTCTGTGAAGGACTGAGTGGGCAAACATAAAATTTAAAAACATAAAAAAACATGTTTACTCAACAGAAAATAGCAAAGAACTTTTGCTTTTCATCATCTACAGTACATAATCACATTAAAAGATTCAGAGAATCTGGAGAAAAGGGACAAGACCAAAAACCAGTATTTGCTGGCCATGATCTTAATAACGCATTAATAACGGACATGATTCTGTAGAGGAAATCACTGTATGGGCTCAGAAACACTTCTGAAAACCACTGTCTGTGAAAATAGTTTGTCGCTACATCCACAAATGCTAATTAAAACTCTAAAACACAAAGAAGAAATAATATATAAACAGGATCCAGAAACGCTGCCACCTTCTATGGGCCTGAGCTCATTTAAAATGGACTGAGGGGAAGTGGAAAAATGTCCTGTGGTCCTACAAATCAACAATTAAGAGCACTCTTACTATCCGTGCACAGTTCAAAAGCCAGTATTCATGATGGTATGGGGTGCATTAGTGCACATGGCATGGGCGACCTGCACATCTGTGAAGGCACCATTAATGCTGAACGATATATCCATGTTTGGCAACATATGCTGCCGTCCAGATGACGTCTTTTTCAGGGAAGACCTTGATGATTTCAGCAAGATGATGCCAAACCACATTCTGTATGTATTACAACAGCATTGTTCCATATTAAAAGAATCAGTGTGCTAAACTGACCTGCCTGCAGTCCAGATGTCACTACTGAAAACATTTGGCACATTATGAAATGAAAAATACGACAAATAAGACCCTGAACTGTTGAGCAGCTGAAATCCTGTATCAAACAAGAACGAGAAAACATTTCACTTTCAAAACTACAGCAGTGTCTCTTCAGTTCCCAAACACTTACAGAGTGTTGTTAAAAGAAGAGGCAATGGAAACACAGTGGTAAACATGACCCCTTCCCAACTTTTTTGAAACGTGTTGTTGGCATCAAATTCAAAATGCGCAGATATTTTTCAAAAACAACAACATTTCTCAGTTTCAACATTTGATATGTTGTCTTTGTAGTATTGCCCTTTAAAATATGGTTTACATGATTTGCATGTCATTACATTCTGTTTTCTATATACATTCTGCACAGCATACCAACTTTTTTGGAAATGGGTTTGTATATATTTATTATCTATATATGCCTAAAAAATGAATAAATATATATTTAATTCCCTAAAAAGCTCCTTTTGGTCTAGCAGGTTTGTTGTGACAGTAGCCATTACTGCTTGACACATTTGTATTTTTATAGGTTAGTAGTTAGTCGTTACATGTGAATGTTTATCGTGGAAACTCATGTCGCAGTAACAATAAGAATACAATTTAACGAGCTGCCTTACAACTGACCATCATAATTATGTGGAGGCAACTTTAGCAATGATTCTTAAAATTAAAGGGTTATTTGGAGCAATGCCATAGAAGAAACACTTATGGTTCCCTAAATCAGAAGTTTGTATGTGGTTGGAAAAGTTTTTCAAGCCTACAAGAGTACCATGGAGGCATGTGAACCTTATCCGAGTATCACCATGTGTCTAGTCCACACTGCCTCTGAGTCAGCTCTGTAACTGCTGCCAGGGGGAATATAAGCTCTAATTTCCTCTGTTCTTTTCTAATTACACAGTTTTACAGCAGGTGTAAAACTTGACAGCACAAACAGCAGATCTCGTTATTGTGATGGAATCATAACCAGTTTTTAGTGCTGTATCAGAGTAGTACAGCATAGGTGCTGCTCTGCAAATACCACACCAACAAGGTCATCACATTTTAGTAAACTATTATTTTAAATATTAATGGGTGTGCGATTTGACTGGATCTCTACAGTTTACACTTCAACAGGCGCAAGTAAAAGAAAGAAGCTAGTGTTTTGACAGAGGTAGGACTGTGGACTGAAAAAAAAACACTGAAATGGGAGCATATATGTTCTGTCAGACAGACGGCTAAAAAACACTTCAAATATTATTTTTATGGGGGATTTTGAAAATGAATATTCAAGTACTCGTTTGGAAATATCAACAGGTATTCAAAGCGTAAAATGCTAGTTGGTCCAGCACTTATTATTATTGTGATGATGCTATATGTAGCCGTTGTCTTTACTGAAGAACCCCTTTTTAAAGAGTGTATCTCTCTGTTCTCAGAGTGCACTCTGCATTCTCTCTCGGTGAGCAGTCAGGTGTGTGCTATTAGAAGAACATGTTCTATCAGAAATAATATGCCTTCGTAGGAGGGACTTTCAGACAGTGTGCTAATGTGTGTTTTACTCTCATTGCAAATCATCTAGATCATTGTGGTTTCAACCCAAAGTGACCTCGGCCAATTTCACTAATGAGGTAATTTCTTTGTTGAGGATGTGAAGTCGGGTCGTGGTGTGCAGGGTTTGAACAAATGCATGTAGAGATCATGTGGCTCTCAGGGCCAGTTCCTCTGCCCTGGATCATCGACGTCTAAACCCACTGCAGGACATACACCAGCATAATCGAATGTAACTGATTTCAATCCTCTTGTGTTATGTTTTATAAACATTTAATTTATAATGTTCATCTGTCAAAGTTCATTTTTACATGCCTGTTTTCCAACCTCTCTTTGTCCTTTAGCATAAAACAGGCTGTTACTAATTAAGTGACTTTAAAAGTCTTTGAGTGGGCGGGGCTAAATGTTGTAGACTGAATGGCCAGGGTGAAATGTAGACTAAATGGGCAGGTTTTTATTGAACAACTTTTAATTGTTTTAAGGAAACAATTTAAAAAATCCTCATTCGATTGTAAATAAAAGTATAAGTTACAGTTATATGTGTGTAAAAATAAGTTAACACATCCTCTACATCCTCCATACATCCTCTAACAAACTTAAATATGGTATTTTCAGCTAATTTTAGTGGACAGTTTCTGTTCCCTTACAGAAAAGTTGCATGAATTTCATGGTTGTTGCACTCTTCCCATGTTAAAAATGTGTTATCACATGGAAAAATGTGTAATCACGTAGGGAAAAGAAAATGTGATTACTTGTAAACACGTGTGCTTTGTGCACACTTCACGTGACTTTTTTGTAAGGGTTTATTTGTGAGTTTAACTTATTGGGAAAAACAGTAAAATATATAATATGTCATAACTTTTTACAGACTACTTCAGAAAAATCTACAGCCAGACTGATATATCTGCACAGGCAAAAATACCACAGATAGTGCGCCAGTAATTTTTATTCATACATTTTTTTGTGGCATCGCAGGGATTCAAACTCAAATTCTCATAATGATACAGTCTTTCTGTGTTTACTAAAATAAAGTGTAACCATTGGGAACTTTCAGACAGATCAGGTCATACAGCACTGTTCAAACTATTGAAGTAAAAACTTAAATCTAAAATACACATATAAAATATTATTTTAATATTAATGGTTACCAGAATTTTCAGCCTCTTAACATCAGAATCGGTCGGAAATCAGTTAAACCCTGATTGGAACAAGGTTTGTGGCATTATTCATACTACATTCAGCTGTTGGACATGAATGGGTCAATTACATTAACAGTAATGGGTTTTTCATTTCATTTCATGTTACAATCAAATAAGTGTTTTTGTGGAACAGAAATGTCTTCAGTTCAGAGACAACAGACCAACAGCACAGCCATTCTGGATTTAGCAGTTTGACCCGTGCAATCAGGAGACATCAGATTGTTGTAGGGTTCTCTAATTCTGCTCCTAGAGGACTACAGTACAGCAGTGTTTTCCCTGCACTATCACACATGATTAAACTCATCAGCTTATTGCCAAGCCTTTCAGCAGCTGAAATAGATATGGGTTAGAGCAGGGAGAAAGGACTCAACTGTGTTTTAGTGCTTTATTCCTGTTTTTTTTGCACTTAGAATTAATTTAAGAACACTGCAAATTCACTTTTGTATTTGAATGATTAGGTCTTTGTCTAACACCTTGAAGTCTACAACAAAAGCATGTTATAATTTAATGTTAATTGGGTCAATTAAAAAATTAAGCTTTGAAAATGAGCACAAAAATATTGAAAAATTTATTATAAAGTTAGTAAAAAATGATGATGTGCATGTCAAATCAATCAGAATCAAACCAATCCATTGATATTTGTGCCATGGCTTTTATAATGGTATACATTTATTTTCTAACAGGCTAATAAATTTGACCGCTCAGAAAGTGTTCAGTGGCCTGCCGCACCATTTATGCACTTTAGGAAGCATAAATGTCTAAAATTAATTGTATTTTAATACACTGGAAATGTATTCACATAGTTCAATCATGTGATATATGCCATGTGGTTATTAAATTATTATACAGGAAAATAATGAACTATGACACAAAAAATGCAGGCCATGTCACTGACCCAAGTATTTCTTTATGATATTTAATTCATTTTAATGTTAATTATTTCCATGTGTGCATTTTTGTCATGTTTGTCATTGAAACAAATAGAAGCCTGTTGACACAGAACCTAAATTGAATGTAAATGTAATTCTTTGCATAGTGATGCCATTAACAATGTAATAATGTTAATTAATGTTTATTTAATGGGGCCAGAGACATGAGCATGGAAAATGATGAGGAATTTCTGATGCCAAATATTATAACACTATAACACAGCGATACTCTAATTTCAGATGTTCGTCCCTTATAAAATAAAATATAAAATCAACAACAATAACTCGACTTCTGAGACGTTCAGCAGATATTCATAAATAGGCCGTATAATTGTTAATTGTTTTTCTTCTCTCTTTCTCTTAGACACTTGAAGAAGTCTGGAGTTAATGGATGACTGACCGCTCCTCCAGAAGACCTGGACTACCGTTTCTGACCATTACCTTCACTTTTGTTATTGGAACAACTCCCCACAGGGTTGTGGATTACTGAAGCAAGTTCGTTTATTTTCGTGCTGGAGCACAGTGCAGAATGAGAACTCCTCTGCTGTTATTGCTGTGGCTGTATTTCTGGTGCGAAGCCAGAGGCACTCTGAGGACTACAGGAGGTCTGAGGAGAACAGGCTGGGAGCACACGGGAATGGCTGGAGACGGGCTTTCACTCAGACGCTCCAAACGAGGCTGGATGTGGAACCAGTTCTTTCTGCTCGAGGAGTACACAGGAACTGACGATCAGTACGTAGGAAAGGTACGTAAGCTTTTCTGTTGTTTCCTTTTGAAAAGATCTGAAAACATTTCTCATGTTTGAGAAATTATCATCACTGTCATCCAAAACCTTTACACTGTTTTAAAAACATAGGCTGCCCTTTATGTAAACATTTCGAGATAAATGGACTAATAGGAAAGTCCCAAAATAGAATTGGAATAAAATCTTGTCACAGTAACAATATTCAGGGATAGACAGGCTTAAAAATTTGCACTGCCCCCCTCAAGCCACCAAGCTTGTTGGCAAAATTATAGAAACATGTTTATTGTATGTACATTGTATTTACATTTAACAAGTAGGATATGGCAAAAATCACGATAATTAGTGACATTTTCATGATACACAATACATACAATACAGGGTGATTCAAAAAGATTAATCCGATTTCAAAGCACTATATTTTTACAACCGTGAGGCTCCTAGGAACCAATCACGTACCAATCGAAAGAGGGAGTCATAGAGTTTCTGACTGTCACCGGAAGATGGCTCCCTTCAGTCTGTGAGGAGATGGAGACCCCTGAGCAGAAAGCGTTCTGCATTCTCCACTTCAATAAGAGTGAATCCGTCATAACTGTGCAAAATTATTTTGAAATGGGATGAATCTTTTTAAATCCCTGTGTATTTTGACACACAGGCACAATGTACTAATAGTGCTACATTTATATGAATACAGTAGTTATTAATCAACATTACGCATACTGCGCTGAACTAAATCCGAATAAACAGGACTAATTATGCTCTCTTTCTAATGAAACATGCACTTGGTCAATGTAAACAAAAATTATCATAGTAACAATAAAATATCGTAATATTGACCACTCCTGTTGCAGTTTTTCTCAGTTGCTTAAGAACATTTGTCTATTCAGAAGCCACATACTCAAAACAGTTGATACTGAACACATGATAGGAAAACAGAGGCTTTCTGGCCAAAATAACATTTTTTCTTTGCAAAATGGTCAAAACTGCAAAACACTAAACACACAACACAAAGCCTTTCCTTCAGATACTACAGCTGACTCTCAGAATAGCAGATTCCTTCAATCACTCACTAAACACTTAAAAACTCCCCACCAAATATAGGTTTCAGTTTCACAGGCTTCAGCCTTCACTGTATATCAATGCTGTACTATCTGCTAATACTTTACTGTAAACAGTTTTAGAATGTGCCAAAGTGCAACGCTACGTTTTCACTGCACAACGTATCACATTTGTTTTCAATGGAAAGCATTGGTTCCGTCAGACTTGGTGGGTCCGGTCGAGTGTCAGAGATGCAACGCATCGAAAAGTTGAGCGGAGCTGAACTCTATGCAGATTAATCAGGCCAACGAGATGTGTCTAACCAATGAGGAGGCAGCTGGTGTTTGCATGATTTGTGTCTGCAGGTGTAAAACACACCAGCAGCAAAAGCTAATATATTTAAACTGTTTACCTCCAAAATGTAAAATCCGAGCAGAATCGGTTGGATGATAATAAACCAAAATGAATGTTGTTGACCGCAAGTGGTAATCAGTGACTTAAATCCTAATCTTTCCAATTCAACTTTATTGACGTTTTTGAAAAAAAATGAGCTTAATGATGAATACTACGTTGGCTTTCTGATTATTCAAAAAAAATAGAAGCTTTACCTACATAAATATTGACTACATTTCAAATGGATTTCACCGGGAACTCCCTCATTACACCCACATGAAGCCAACTGAAGGCGGATGATGCGTTCACGTCCGTCAAAGCGCCAGAAGAGTGTAAATGTAAGAGTATCACAATGTGAAACCTGTTCTTTTACCAGAGATAAATTTCAGGGCAATATACTGTATAACCTCCCACAAAAAAGGAAAAGATTTCATCCTAAATATTCAGAAGCAAATATTTTTAGTTCTTTTTTCTATACTCTTGAAACAAAGGTGAGAGTAGTGGAGTGGAAATTTTCAGTGAAATTCAGATAAAACAGCATTACACCAGGTCATCAGTCATGGCTTGTCCATGGCAGAATGTGGAAGAAAGTTCTAACTGTCAACACTGCAGCATTCATTGTACATTTTTTAAAAACCTCAATAGGTTAGTTAGTGTGTAATTCTATTAAACATCACTTTTTCAATGTGAAGAGTGGAAAAAAAGCAGAATATAGAAGCAAATTACCTTAAAACACATGGATATAGTGTCTCTGGTAGAATCGACTGGATGTTTCACAATTTCAGTAGGTATGTCTGTCATTTTGTTAATCAATTTTAAAGTCTTACCTATTACCTGATTTTCTTTTGATAAACACTTCTCTAAGCTCTTTTTTCAATGCTTACATCAACAACTGAGAATGACTGATATCTGAGATGATAATTGTGCAGTGTGTATTTCACAATCGTGCTCAAGGTATTTATAACTATGAGAGTATTTTCTATAAGCTGTCACTACATGTTTTCCTTTTGTTTTGCAGTTATCCCATGGACTTTTATGTTTTTTTTGTGGGATCTGTGTTAATTATTCTGTAAACCTTCTAAAAAATAACTAAAAGCAATGAGAATGTGTTGACACGTCTGCAAACAGGCACTTCTGCCTTGCGAAGAAAGTGACAACGAAGATTACGTTGAGTTTTGTTAAATGTGTTGTAGCCATCCAGAAAAGCAGTAAAAAGCATACATCAGTACCCCAAACAGTCAGATGTTGCTTGTCTCTATGTCTACTTTTGGCCCTGTTGCTTTAATCTGTTATTTGGAACACTGACGATCACTGAAGAGCACTCGTGTCGAATGCTGCTGACATGCTTTTAAATATTGTGTTTTCTAAACCCTGGTAAATAATGAACTCTTCGAAACTGACGACATGCTCGACAGAACATCACATCCTTCTCAAAATCATGTGAAAACAGCCAAACACTTTCTTGCCACTCAACTGTGAATATTCTATTTTTTTGTTCTGGACATCATTCCTTTTTATTGTCTTCACTGACACTATTAGTAAAACTCATATTTTAGAAATCCAGAAAAGCTCAGAAATTGTCAATTACGGATTTTACAGCTGCTAACAAGCATTTTCAATACTGAGTTCTCTTTTATACAACTCTTCACACAGTTGGCACAGCAACAGTCTGTTTGGACTAAGCCATGAACATTTTTTTCATGCTTAAATGCAGTATGTTTTATTCTTGAGCTCTGTTGGCCAATGCTTGCAGGACTGTTACACTGAACTTCAGAATCTAACATAAAAAAAATAAATCAATTTACTCAGTCACAAATACTGTATCAGACATCAATCAAAGGCCCAACATAATAGTGGTCACAGAGACACACTGCTGATTATGAATGGGCCCATCACAATAGATGCCTGTCTGAACTAAAGTTCAGCCCAGTTTGTGACCATCTATAAAAAGGGGTGACTTCTGGAGTTACTTTGTTCACAGTGGACATTGCATTATGGGCCCAGCACATAATTAGCAAGTGCTTAGTTGTATGTGCATCAACAAGAGAGAGAGGACATTAGGTGTGATGAGGATGAGAGCATAAAATAACGCAGACCAGACAGAGTGAACATTTACGGTATCTATGACTTTCTCATTGCTAGATAATGTAATGTACCTTAAAGTATGAAATAATGTAAAGTACAAAAGCTATGAATCCAGTGATCAGTGTTCAACATTTCACATACTATACTTTACAGTATGTACTATACAGTAAAAGTCAGACTTCCACAAAACACTAAACATGAGACACAAAAGAAAATGTTTCCATCAAACACCACAACTCTCAGAGTAAATTCCTTCAGTCACTGAACAACAAGCAAAGAAAATACAAAATACATGTTTCAGTCTTCATTTATGGCATTTGGCAGACTCTCTTAAGCTACGTTCACATTACAAGCCTCATTGTTCAAATCCGAAATTTTGCTCAAATCTGATCTTTCTGACATGGTGGTCCACACTCGTTTAGGTAAGTGATTCAAATCTGTCATTAATGCCAACAAACCGGCGTCCTGAAATGACCCGCGTGCGCACATCCTACTCAGTAACGTCACGTGAATTAATCGCGTGCGTCATCAGCAAACAAACTAACGGTCAGAACGAGCTTCACTGTGAAGATAATTAACTCTGATCAGCTCTCAGCTTCATTATTGGAGCGAGACGAGGGTGAAAAAGGTGAGATGAGCTGCTTTTTCACAATTTACATGCTTTAACTTCTGTTCGACGCTGCTGCCATGGTAACGCTGAATGATGGTGCATGCGCAGTGAAAAAAAACACATGAATTCTGATCTGAGCGTCACATGGTCGCATGGCCACAAATTGGATACATATCCGATCTAGGATCACTAAGTGGCTCAGGTTGGATTTGAAAAGATCAGATTTGCGTGTCCACTCAACAAAAATTAAACCACCTTGGGAGTCACAACATTTTATATGCATTTTACTGGAGTATCGTTTTACCATCTTGGCTGTAAATATGTCTCAGTGTGTGCTAATGTCTTAGTGTAGACTAAAAAATATAAACGAAAACGCAGACTTTGCTCTGCTTTAAGCTTTAGCTCAGCTATAGTCCATTCGTCTCCAGATTATCAATGTTCGTCTTAAATCTTTCTCTTTTTGTTATTTTGTTAGCTGCTAGCTAGGCGAAACTGTTTTCTGTGTTTCAGGGTCAAAGGTTGGTGAATTAGCAGTTATAGGCTACATTAACTCCAGTGTTTAAGACCATTTATTGTTAAAACTGTGTTAGAATGATCAGCAGAGCTTTATTTTACTGCAAATGAAGAATATTTTATTTTTACCTGAAAATCTGATTCTGCTGTGGAGCCGCAACAGAGCAGCAAAAGAGCCGCATTTACATATTACATTCAACGTTTGTGTTTTTCTGTGATATCCGTGTTAATTGTTGTGTAAAACTATGTGAACAATGACTGAAAGCAGAGAGCGTGTGTTAACATGCAAAAGGACACTTCTGCTTTGCTAACACAGTGACAACGAAGATTAAGTCGATCCCAGTTTTGTTAAATGTGTTTTAGT